CTCTAAGCATTCCACCTCCTCTCCTACACCTGACAGGCAGCTGCTTGTCCAGTGTAGGAGGGGGAGGAGTATTAGAAGCCACTGTGGAGGCAGGGCTGGCAGGATCACTAAGGCGTTACTGTTGGGGTGGGCTCCCTCATGGCTTTAAGCACCCTGCAACCACTGCTGCACCTGACAGACAACCGCCTGTTAGGTGTAGGAAGTGGGAGGAGTGTGTTGGAAGCCATTAGAGAGGCTGGGCCAATAGCATTACTGGACCTCACAGGTGGTTGGCCATTCCTGATTTCCTCAGCTATCATTAGCTTTGTGCAGTCTCCTGTAACTTTTTTTTACCTCAGAACAATGAGCTCTGGAGCTGACCAATGAGAGAATGGGGGGTGCAAGGAGACAGCAGGGGGGAGCACATATTACCCCTTTGGACCCCCTTAGGGGTCGAATTTCTAAAAATCCCTTCTTAGTAAGCATCTACATCATGGTAGGAGTGCTCTTCCCGAATTTGGTGTTTCTAGGTCCAGTGGTTTGGCCTGGGCGTTGATTTTATGGTGAGGGGACTTTCTTTTATATATATAGATGGGAGAAATCACATCATTCTCCTTTCCTCCACTATATACTCACAACAATCCCGTGAAACACATTGGGCTGTGAGAGTATGTGATTGGCCCAAAGTCACCCAACAAGCTTCCGTGGCATAGAGTGGGGATTTGAACCTGGGTCTCCCGGATCCTAGTCTAACCACTACATCACATGGCTCACCACACTACCTAAGAACTCAGAACTGATTGAAATATATGTCTAGTTTATGTTTACATATGCAGCAGAGGCTTAAGCGTCTGATAGGACTGGGTTGTAAAGCACTCTAAGAAATAAATTCCGTTTCAGTCAGTTGAACCTGTATCCATGTACATGTGTTTACTGTTCCAGCTGTTTTGTTTTTCATAGGGTTGGTGTTCATTTAGATGCTTAATATTTGTGTTAAAAAGTTAAGCAATTCTGGCATACTAGTTATCCAGAAAAAAGTAGTGAGTCTGTGTAAAAGGCTATCTTGTTGTGGACTTCAGTTCATTCCAAACATACCTTGTTTTTATGTGCTGTGTGGCCCATGATGTATTCTCAGCTGCAGCTTTGATTTACAGTGACTCAACTGGGGCAGTGTTTGCAGAGCAGAAGTCCTGCTGATGAGATGCATAAACTCCCACTCAGAACTTTAGGTGGTCTTAACCATCTTGTTAGATATCTTGAGTAGGAATATGCTGACCCTTTTAAAAATACAACGGAGGAATTTTATAGGGCTAGCATTTATTGGGTTCAAGTAACCTTATTAGGGCAATTGTGTAATACATAATTTCATGTTCGTGTGGCTCTAGTGTTTGACTCCCGTCTGTTTCTTAGCCTGTATCCACAGCATAGTATGTTCTGTTTGCTCCCTGTTGTTTGGGTAGCACAAGCTAGGTTTGTGCCACCTTAGACATTCAGATGCAGATGTTAAGTCATATGAAATAGAGCTAAAGTAGTCTTTATTCGAATATATGTCAGCACTGACTCTTTAACATGAACATAAAATTAAGCTGCAGATTCCTCTGCAAGTGATAGGATCTTAAAACCAATTTGCTGAGCTTTCATAGAATGAAAGCAGAAAAAAAACTAGCTATTCAAACTGGTATGTTAAGTGATATTTTATTGGAATATATGTCAGCACTGACTCTTTAATATGAACATAAAATTAAGCTGCAGATTTCTCTGCAAGTGATAGGATCTTAAATCCAATTTGCTGAGCTTTCATAGTATGAAAGCAGAAAAAAAATAGCTATTCAAACTGGTATGTTAAGTGATAATTAGATCTATAGCAATTAAGGCATTTTGGCAAGGAGCTATCATTAAATATGGTGAAAGCAATGGAAAGAGCACACACAACAAATTTTACTAGATATATACTTGCAACTCTCATAGAATCTATGATACTTTACTCATACTTTACTCTGAAATGGTTGAAGACTTTTTTCATTGTTTCTTTGAGAGGTAAAGTTTATTGAAGAAGTGTCAAGAGATGCCAGACAGGATGACCATATCTCTGATTGTAATCTAGGTTACAGGGCCCTCTTCGGGGCCACTGCTTATCCTGGCCTGCATATGTGTGTTAAGTACTGTCAAGTCACTTCTAATTTATGGTGACCCTATGAATCAATGTCCGAAATATCCTATTGTTAACAGCTTTGGTCAGGTCTTGCAAACTGTGGGCTGCAGCTCCTTTGTTACTCCCCTTTTCCTACTGCCTTCAGCTTTTCCTAACACTATTGTCTTTTCTAGTGATTCACGTCTTCTCATAATGTGATCAAAGTATGATAGCCTAAGCTGGGTCAATTTATCTGCTAGGGAGAGCTCAGGCTTAATTTGATCTATAATCTGCTTCCCCCCCCCTTTTTTTTTTGGCAGTCCATGGTATCTGTCATACGGAATCCATTTCCTATCAGCTTTCTTCATTGTCCAACTTTCACACCCATACATAGTAATGGGGAATTCTATTGTTGTTGTTCAGTTGCACAGTCAAGTCCGGCTCTTCGCGACCCCATGGACCCCATCATGCCAGGCCCTCCTGTCTTCCTCTGTCCTCTGGAGTTTGCTCAATGGGGAATACTATAATATGAATTAACTTGATGTTGGTTGCCAGGAACACATCCTTAAACTTAAGAATCTTTTCTATCTCCCTCATGGCTGCCCTTCCCAATCTCAGTCTCCTTCTGATTTCTTAGTTGCAACCTCACTTTTGGTTGATGATTGAGGCAAGAAATAGAAAATCTTTAACAATTTCAATATGTTCATCAACTTTAAAGTTGTGTAATTTCTCAGTAGTAGTCATTTGTCTTCTTGATGTTTAGCCATAATCCTGCTTTTGCACTTTCTGCTTTAAGCATCATCAGTAGTCGTTTCATTCTTTACTATTCTCTGCCAGTAATGTGGTGTCATCTGCATATCTCAAATGATTAATGTTCCTTCCATCTATTTTCACTCCACCTTTATCTAAATCTAATCCAGTTTTCCTTCTGATATATTCTGCATATAGACTGAAGAGCTAGAGAGATAAAATGCATCCTTGTCTGAAACCTCAGCCAATTGGGAACAATTCTGTTTCTCAATATTCTGTCCTATGTAGCCTCTTGTCCAGAGTAAAGGTTACACATCAAAACAGTCAGATATTGTGGCACACCCATTCCTTTTAAAGCCTACCACCCATTCACATCAACAACTAAATGTCCTTTTGGCTTTAATCCTGTTGCGTCATTAAAAATAGCACTACACATATTTATTCTCTGCTCTTCCCCAGTAGCTCATTGAGTGCTATCTGACATGAGGGTCCTGTTTTCCACCAATATATCTTTTCCCCCCGTTTTGGATTGTCTCATTATAGGCTTTTCAACGTATGAGATGATCAGTACGTGCCCAGTACTAACCAGGGTTAGCTGAAGTGCCACTGCCATTGTCTGTGATAGCTCCTCCACCTGTATCACCTTCCACTACTGCTGCTGCCTAGTATTCCCTTCAAGGATGCCTCCACCCTATCATAATTGGAACTGTCCATTCTATCCTGCTAATGTGGCCATTTATTCCTGAAGGGGGAGGATGCATCTTAGTCTGGTGTCTCAGGTGTGACCATTGCACCCTGAGTGACTCTGCTAGGAGTTTAGTCTCTTGATAGCATCTAAACTTCTTACAGTATTACTCTCAGATTTGCTGACATACACAAACCCCTAACAATGTTAAGGGGTGCGTCCAAGAGGGGATATGTCCTGCATACTCATCTTTTATTCACTCTTTCATCCACTAAGGTACTTCTAAAAACTCTAGGTTCTGGACCAGAAAGAGGTCAGCTGTCCAAACCAGAACTGAAAAATTTATTCACCAGCACTGGTATCTTTGGATTCTTGCTTATACTGATGACTCTTACTGATGTTGATAAAGCAAGCCTACTTGTTTTAAAAAACCCCACCATGGATAGCATAGGGATTGTGTTTTTTAACTGAGAAATTGAACTTTAAAAAGTAGTTGAAAGTAACATTTCCAGTGAGTTTTTCAGATCTGATCCATATTTCATACTTACTCTTGTTTCTGTTCTTTCAGAAAAGACGGCGGCGTATTGATCGAAGTATGATTGGGGAGCCAACAAACTTTGTGCACACAGCTCATGTAGGTTCAGGAGACCTCTTTAGTGGAATGAATTCGGTAAGTGTCTGGTTAGGAATCCTGCAGCAGCTTATTAATTTATTTCTTCAAATTTATACCCCACCCTCCCAGCCAGGGCCGGCTCAGGGGGGCTTACATAAAATCAGTAGAGAACATTTAAAATAATACAATAAATCAATTGAAACAGATTACAATTCTATGATACCATAGTAAGTGCTAGATTTGCTGTAATAAAGTTCGTGATGGCTACCATTGACTCTCACTTCCCAAGCCGGCTCGCAGGTCTTCTGTAGTTGTTAATATAACTTCCATGGCAGGAGGGCTTCTTATCCTAGTAGTTAAAAGTTGGCGGTGGCTCCAAAGGCCTGGCAGAAGAGCTCCGTTTTACAGGCCCTGCGGAACTGTAATAGGCTCCGCAGGGCCCTGATATCCTCTGGGAGCTCATTCCACCAGGATGGAGCCACCACTGAGAAGGCCCGCTCCCTGGTTGTCACTAGCCTGGCCTCCTTAAGACACGGTTGGGCCGGTTGGTTCTGGGCCCCTGAACGCAGTGCTCTCTGGGGAACATGTGGGGTCATTCAATTTAGAATGCAGCCTTGCATAAGACTGTATTCTATAACATAAATCCAGTGGTACTCATTCTGTGGCTGCTGGAGAGTCATATTCACAGTTACTATTAACCAAAAGAGCCATGACTACTGTACACCCTGTGCACTTTCTCACCAAACAGGCACATACAATAACATGATAAGTATTAATAGTAAATCAACAACTGTAGCCTTTTTGAATTCCCATGTAGGGTTGTCTGTCTTCACCACTGTTGAACCTAGAGTTTCCAACTCTGGGTCAGGAAATTCCTGGAGATTTCAGGATGAGGTTTGGGGAGGGAAGAGGGGAAGACTTCAGTGTCATAGAGTCCACACTCCAAAGCAGCCATTTTCTCCAGGATAACTGATCTCCATAGTCTGGAGATCAGTTGGAATTCCAGGAGATCTTCAGCCCCCTCCTGGAGGTTCACCAACAAAAAACCAACTGTGTAATGAAATCACAACAAAGCATCAATTACAAATTTATAGCAATAACCATGACATACTGTAAACATTGCCAACAATAAGGATGAATCCTATGAAGGAGCACCACTACAAACACTGATGATCCATAGATGCAAAGGGATTAAAATAGTCCAATAATCTTAGGGTATGGAGTGGAGGAAGACAGGCAGCCTGAGGAGTAGTATTTCTATGGGGAAATGGTACATATCATCGCTGGTCTGAACTGGGCCCTCTAAACAGCATGATTCAACCACAAATTGCTGAGATAATGTCTTTTGGCCCTTATTTCTCTTTAAAGGGCCATATTAAGCAGCGGCTGGACAAACACTTATCAGGGATGCTTGAGGCCAGGGGTGTCAGACGTGCGGCCTGTGGGCCAGATCCGGCCTGCACAGGGCTCAAAATTGGGCCCCCAAGCAGCTTCCTTCTTCTGCTTCCTTTCCCAGGGCTGCTGCTTCAGCCGCACTCTAGCTTGTTTTTTCCCAGCTCTCTCAGTGGCTCTTTGCTTCCTGTTTCCTGCTTCTTGCCAACCCCCCCCCCCACTCACACACACATACAGAGATAGAGAGCTGGAAAGATACAAAAACAAGCCTCCTCCCCCCCCACCCTTCTTCACTTGCTTGGTCTCTCTCACTCAGATACGCAGACAGAGAGAGCCTCATGGCTGCTTTGCCAGAGAGATTAAAAAATCAAGCCTGCCTGCCGCTCCCACTCTCTCTCTCTCTCACAGCTTCTGCTTTCTTCTCAGGTGCTGCTCCTCCGCTTTTTTTTGGGGGGGGGGGAGAAGGAAAGAGACAGAAAACAAAATTGGAGTCCGAGCTTTAAGACCAACAATGTTTATTCCACATATAAGCTTTTGTGTGCAAGCACACTTTTTTGGAGGGTTGGTGGGTGGATGGATTCTTCTGACAAGCACAGTGTACATTGAGGAAATTATTCACGGGAGATTAATTTTTTTGTCTTACGTTACAACCAGATAGTCCCACTGAGCAAGCTATGAAGCTTGTCCTTGATAACCTTACTTTGATTATTGTGAATATATATGTTCCCAACTCCTTAGACAGATTAACTCTTTTTCCCAACACTGGAAATGACTAACTACTTTTTTAGAAAGACTAGAAGAAGAACATCCCTTGGCTGAAATAATTCTGGCAAGTGATTTTAATGCTAGAGTAGGCAGTGATCATAAAATATTCTTTAAGGCTATAGAAATTAATCAGGATGATACACTTCCACCTATTTTCACCTCTACTATGTACTCCAAAGACTGCCACATAAACTCGGCAGGCAAACTTTGCCTTCAATTTAATAAAGTTTGGCTGAATGGGCTTACCGACTTTCCCAAATCTGGAGAATATACATTTGTCTCAACAAAGGGCTTTAGTGTAATAGACTATTTTGTAGTTTCCCCCTCATTGGAATCTCATGTTTTAGATTTCACTGTTGGCAATTATATATTGGCCATCATCCACTTATCTTAACTCTCAATGTCAGCCCTTTCACTAGAACCCAATGTTATTTCCAACACAAACCTGACAAGCTCTGTCTGTTGCCTAGGATCTTATGGAATGATAGCTCTATGAAAACCCCCCAACAATTACTCAAATCAAACCTACTCTTAAAGTATAGATCCTCTTTAATTTATGCAAATGAACATTCATCAATGATCATAGCCTATAATGCTTTAACATCTCACATATCTATGTCACTTGGCAAAAAACTTGAGAGTGGAAATAAGAGTAGTAGTAGACCTATTAATGTCTGGTTTGATAGGGAATGTAGATACTTGAGGAAATTATTTTGGCTTATTCTGAAAAGTTGTTGTTTTAAATTATTGGATTTCTATCTGGATTTATTTTCTTTTAAAAAACCCTGATTAGGAATAAGAACACGTGGATTGGTCCTTATATCTTGGAGAGTGGAGTGATTTCAGATGCCAAATGATAATAGAACACATTGGTAATGAGACAATTATGCCAATAAAGGCTATTGGAATTGGAATTGGTAATGAGACAGGAAAACTAGGTCTCAATCCAGTCTAGGAGGATGCAATTCAGCAGTCTCTCTTTCTAATCTCCCTTTGAAATTCTTTTGTAAGAGCACTGCTACTCTTAGGTCAGCAACTGAATGTTGTGGTTTCTAATGTCAGACTTATGTCCATTACTTCTTTGCATCCTCCTGGACTGAATCCTCCTGGATAGAACTGAGACCTAGGTTTCCTGTCTCATTACCAATCCTGATATCTCCACACCTACTTCCCCTCTCTATATTACACCTAATCCAATCATGCCTGCTATTGCCATTAGGCATCTGAAATAGTCTTTATAAAGTTTATATCTCTGGTACCTTGTGTTACATTTTAAATCATGGATGGACCGGACCGACAAAGTTACATTTGTGTCAGATCCAGCCCTCATAACAAATGAGTTCGACACCTCAGCTCTAGACTGAACCTGCATTGAGCAGGGGGTTGGATGACATGGCCCCTTCCAACTCTGTGGTTCTATGATTCTATGTGCCATAAATCATCTAGAGATATATCCTGGTGGAACCAATGTCTGAAGCGGAATATATATATAGTACTTTTCTTCAAATATACATCATAGTCTGAAGTAAAAAGAGATACTTACTTAAACATATAGTGGATTGGATCCAGCCAGCTTTTTCTGTCCATCTCACCTAATTCCTTCCCTACCCACATGGCTTTTGTTCAGGCAGGTCCCATGATCCTTAGAATAGCCATTTTAGTGATCCCTAGCAGAAAAGGTATTTGAATCCATCCCAAAATATAAATTGCTGTAGTGTCTTCCCTGTAATCCAAAATGCTCTTTCCTATATTACTGTAATCCACACCTGAACTCTTGAGCTATTAATTGTGTGAAGAAAGTATGTAAATTAGTTTCTTTAGAAAAACAACGGTGCTGTCTAACAAAGCAGCCTGTAAAGCAGCCTAGAGAAACATATATTACACTGGGTGATGTTGGCAGGCATAAGCCATGCCCATTGCTATCTCTCATACTGCCAGTCCCAGCAGTATTGCAAGCACCTGAGGGGCTTGCCTCCAGTTAACGAGCCCTGTGTGCTGGGTAGAATGGTTTGGTGTAGTACTGCTGGGAATATGTGCCAGAAGTTGCCTATTCTGCCTTATAGTTCCCTAATAGAAAGAGGTGATGCAGTCAAAGAGAGGAGGAAAAGTAGGTAGGTCACAGTGTGACTTTTGGAATTTCCCAGAGAATACGTGTATAACTGAAGCAATACTAAAAACACACACATTTCTGTACTAAATTTGCTTGACTCATTAAAGAATAATTCTGCATCTTCAGGGTCAGTATGTATTTATAAAATACAAGGGGGCGGGACCCGCGATACTCGTGGGGGGGAGGGACCTCCACACATGAGGCAGAGGAGGAAGCAGCAGGAGGAGGTAAGTCCCCCCCATCCTACCGGTTCCTCCCCCGTATCCTCCACCCCCCCGCTCGATCTCCCCCCTCTGGGTGCATGCGCAGGGGACGCTCTGTCACTTTTGGGGGGATTTAAGTATCCCCCCGATATTTTTCCCGGGGTTTTAGATTTTTGTGCACACCTGGGGACTGCCCCAAGTGTGCACAAACATCTCCCTCCCCTTCAGGTCCCCCCGATGTGCGGAAATAAGTATCCGCACACTGGGGGCGACTTCGGAATTAGATATATAGATGTGGCTGAGATGCTGTGAGGTTGCAGATCCAAAAGGAGATCCCAAACCAGTAGTACCCTTTAATGGCAGTAAGACACAGGGAGGGGAAAACAAACTTGACCCAAAAACTGTAATCAAGAACCACAAGGGTAAGAAATAAGTCTTGATAAAGGGCCAGTATTAAAAACCTAGTTGAAACTTATACAAAAATGCATATATTTATTAGAAAGACAGTTAAAAACATAAGGACCCAATGAAAGCCTCATTAGAAAGTTCTAGTGGCCTAAACACAAGGGCCAATAGACATGACCTGATGCGTTTCCGCCCTTTTAGGGCCTTCTTCAGAGGTCAAAGAATATTGAGGTACACGTAACAATAATACATATTACAATAAAATAACCAATAAGTGAATACTGGACCAAGAAAAGGAAGGTTAAACAGCGTTTGTGAGGCCTCTAAAGATGAAAGTCATGTGTCTGGTGCCAAACGCACAGTTGCTGAATTAGAGCATCTTCCAATTTAGGTCCAAAAAAGCTCCTGTGTGGCTTTCTAAGAGCTAGAGTGTCCTCAAGCAAATATCAAGACTTCTTTCGTACCCTTTAATGGACCAGTGATTTTATGCTGCCTGGATGGAACAGGAAGCACTTTGGAATTTGTACATCAGAGTAAGCCCTGATAATCTTTTTCAGAATAGTTTTTCACACTATTTTTTTTTTACTTTACAAAGAGATTGATATGTTTGTAATATAAATGTATGTTATGTAACATAAATGAAGTTGTGTAAGTATGTTTTGGCACTGAGAAGCTTACCTCTGAATTTGCTGAGGTTCATATTAGTACCAGAGCAGTCATTTGAATTAAAAATTACAAAAATAGACAGATTTTTAAATTTCACATTTCGTAGAAAATAACATGCTAATGTATGAATCTGGATAATGCATATACATTATCATTATTTTTTGTGCATAGTATTACCCTTGTCATAACAAAGCAACTTCATTCTGCAGATTTTCTGCATTTTTGTTGTGTATCTTGAAAGCTTTTTCAGGCTACATTAATATCACAGTTGGCCTACCTAAAGCTGTAAGAGAAAGGGCTGCTTTTGATTCATAGTTCCTGAGCACCCATGAGAAATGTAGTCTTGCTAGGCTTTTATAAATAACAGTTGCAAAATCATTTCTGAATTATTTTGTTTAATGCTAGAGGTATTTTGCAGATAAATTCAACTGAATTGATACATTAGCATTCCACTTAACCAAATCTCATGCTTCAAGAAGAAGCTGAATCAGCTTAAGGAATAATAAATCTTTGTCCCAGACTACCTAATGCTAGAAACATTTCTTCTGAATACAGTCTTCCCTTTCTGCTTTGTAGGTGCATGGGGGGGCAAATTTCTAATGTCTTCAGACAGATTTGTTAATATTGGAAATATTACTAATCCTGTTAAAAATCGATCTGACAGACATTTTCATTGCTTCAATGGGAAATACATTTCTGAGTACAACTTTCATTTGCACAACATACCCAACTGATACGAAACTGGCAGAGATCGCATGCCACATTCATACAGGACAAAGTATTCCTGTTATATAGGAACTGAAATTCTCACTTGTGCAGTTTGGTTGAGGCATGAATTAACTTGTGAGTAGGGTTGCCCGGTCTGGGTTTGAAAATACCTGGAGACTTTGGGGGTGGATCCAGGAGAGAGCGGGGTTTGGGGAGGGGAGGGGAGGGCCCTCAGCATGGTACGATGCCATAGAGTCCACGCTTCACAGCAGTCATTTTCTCCAGGGGAGCTGATTTCTGTCAGCTGGAGATCAGTTGTAAAAGCAGGAGATCTCCAGGCCCCACCCGGAGGCTGGCAACCCTACTTGTGAGTGGCCTTTACTCAGTATCTTCAGTTAGACATGTAAACAGTTCTCTCCCCCCCCCCCATTCTTTCTTCCCGCTGCCTTTGTCCAAGAGGTGACAGGGATTCAGCATGCATGAGAGAGGGCTCTGACTTTCTCCTTGCCTCTCCTTTTTTGGACTGGCTGCCACCACTCATGCTCAGCCCTTTCTTTTGCTACCTGCAGCTTCAGACACAGATAGGGGCTATGTGCATGTTCATGAACTGCTTCACACACATCCTTCTCTGGCCAGCTGTCTGTAGTCCTGTCAGGAGTTCTGGTTTGTGTGCAGAATGAGCACCTTGGGTGGTATCTTTGACCACAGCCTGAGACCTTTTATTTATTAAAACATACTTTCACTTCCCTAGAGCACAAGAGCACTGGAAAACTATAGCAAAACATTATAGGGTGTTAAAAAACCAAGAAAAGGAATTAAAACATGAGGCTAACTAAGTTGTAGTCACTGGTATTACCTTGGTATTCCTATCAATGGAATGGACACAAGGTGGAACCCTGAAAAATAGAGGCTGGTGAAGATGGACTTCACTGATTTCGCCCATGGTCCTTGGCTTGCATACCTCTGACTGGGTGTCCAGACCTTTTAACCTTTCTTGTCCAAGCTGGGTGGGCTTTACTTCAATTGATCATGAAATTGGGTTTTGGTCCCTACATGTATTGTTTTGCACCTTCTCTCCAATCAGATCAATTTGCACATCCTAAAATCTTTATGGCCCAACACAGAATATCCAAATAGCCATTTATCTTGCTCCTTCCTAGCAGCTGTGCAAATGGTCATCTACATCCTGCCTATTTGTCTCCACAAAGGAAAATTCATGCCCCCTCCGCCAGAAATCTGAGGAGTTTATTGCCTTGTTACTAGGAAAGAATGTTTTTTCTGAGCTCTGTGCCTCCCTAATGTTAAACAAGGTATCCAGCTTTGCTTTATCATAATAGAATGATGGTCTTTTTTACTTCAAAAGAAGAATACACTGAGAAGGGGAACTAAACTTTATCCCTACCCATACCTTAATTCAGTAGCTGCATTTTTTTTTTTTTTTTGCTCTACCAGCTTTCCATGTTGTTTTTTGCTCAACCGATCAGGTGAATATGGTTTCCTGCAGTTCTTTAGGGCCCTTAACATCATCTTGCTCTGTGACTGTGGATCTACTGCATTTCCGTTCCACCTTGCAGAACATGCGTAATCCCCGCTGGGGCATGCCCACCATGCAGAGTCAACAGCAATGTTCCCTCTAAGCTGTGGAGTCTTGTGAGCAAAAACACTACTTTGTGAGCTACTGGCAATACAGTTCTGAGTGAGCGATTTGGCTACTGCATAAATTAGTTTGCTCTGGAGCCGTCCTTCCTGAGCTAAGACAAAAATGTGTGAGCCAGAGGCTAAAAAACCATGAGCTAGCTCACACTAACTCATCTTAGAGGGAACACTGGTCAACAGGCTGAATCAGTCCCCCCATATCAGCAGGGGAAGCTATTGCATTGTTGTTAATTATTATTGTTAGTGTTTGATGTCATAAGCCACTTTGGGCATGTTGTATGGAGAAAACTATGAAGTATAAATAAACAAATCAACTTAAAGAAAGCACCAGTTCCTATCTGACTGTGCTTCTTGGTTTTCCGTCCCACCTCTGTTTGTGTAGGTGAGCTCAATTCAGAACCAAATGCAGTCCAAAGGAGGCTATGGTGGAGGCATGTCTGCAAACGTTCAAATGCAGCTTGTAGATACAAAAGCAGGATAACTCTGTGACACTTTTCCAGTGAGTATTAATAATGTTTATAGATCCTTTGGTCTACTTCTGTTCTCTCTTGCATGCTGTTATACACCATTTTAAACCATCTTTATTAAATGGCTAACATTTTACAATTCTTATCTCAAGGCTGTATGCTAGGCCCAGGGCAGAACTGAAGCTGTATCTGTTGAATGTGTGTTCAGCATTATGCAATTTTTACTGCAGAGCTTCTCATAACTGCATAAATGAGACATGAATTTATTAATTCAGAAAACAGGACATTGTTTATCACATGATGGCTTCAGGTATTATTACGCTGTGTATTTTTCTGCTAGTCCACATCCATGGCTGCTCTGAAGGTCGGGGATGTAAGAGAATTGTTCACTGTAATAGTGTCAACACTAATATTTTCAAAAAGCAACTCTTGTAATGGCTGAGAAATGGCTAATATTTTCAAAAAGCAACTCTTGAGAATGGCTGGAAATGGCTGAGAAGCTATGAACTTGTAGTTCTGCCCTATTCCAAAAATTGTGGTTTTGTGATTGACTGAATCATTGTTCTGCTCTTTACAGGTCCTTGTGAATTCCTGTACCTTGTTTCCTGTGCCCCTCTCTTTATGCCTTGGTGACTGCTTTCTGTGCTCATGATGAGAGAAGTGATGGCTCATCATCCACCCCTTGTGATTACGCCAGTGAAACATTCCTATTCTGCTGTGAGGATAACATTTATCAGACTGGTCTCGTTGTCGTGCCTTTCCAGTGGCATGCACACATCTCACTGCCACCAAAACATCTGTGGACATAGTATTGGTTGATTTTTTTTCCTTTTTTTATCTCAACTTTTTAAAACAATATTTCAAGCAATCTAAACATAGTTTGGTGTTGGGTTGGATTTATTTTTTACTTCCTCTGAAAGTCCTAGATTATGGCATTTTCATCTGTGAGTTTTTTAAAAAAATTATTTCCTTCTCTGTAAATTAGAAGCAAGAAAGTTGCTCTTGATTCATTAAATATGACATTCTTAGTACAGGTCTTTTTTGTTTGTTTGTTTGTATTAAAGGTCTGGGACCTGCAAGCACAAGGATCATTTCACGCATCTATGACCGCATGCTTTGTGAATCTGCTTGATATGGTGGCCTATATGGTGCCAAATCTTTTTTTTAAAGAAGTGCTTGATCTTGCAGATGGATGATACTATTGCTGATTCAAAAGTTTTGCAGAGGCTCCAGATCATGCCAATCTGTCTGGGAAAAGGACTTGTAACTTTTAGCTGCTTTGGAAATATATTGTCTTAGATTTTGATCTAACTGGTCTTGAAATAATAAAGAAGAGAGCTTTCGTTCATAAGGCCATTTTGTTGTAAATGTTCAGTATATTTATTTTGAAAGAGCTGACCTCAAGATTGTAAACCAGTGTAGTAATGTACATACTCAATGTTGTGGTGGCGCTTTTGTCTGGTTAAAGAGGCATTTTATGTTGGCTGCTTTAAAAAAATTTTTTTTTAAAGAAAATGTTTAATTTTAGGCCATACCGGCATTTCCAGTAGCAGCATGTCGAACTGCCTGCAATATTATAGCTGGAATTTAGTTGACCTCTCCAAGTAGTTGGCAGTTTCCACGTACTAAATATTTCGGAGCCATGTAAGTTGCTAAGAGCAGCATAGTAACCTGGCAGAAACTGATGCCAGCAAAAACAACATACAGGGTGGCTTTTTGCTGTATTGGTAAAGAAGCCTTTTGCTCAGGTTCCAAAGCATGTTCCTCTTTCACAAGGTGTGAAAATTGTGTTTTAATACAGCACTGTTTTGAAATATTTCTGTGAGAGCTCCTTTCCCCCTCCTTTCCCACTTCATGGCCCTTTCATCACAAGAAACTGAAGTCAGTTGAATGAACACTAGCTAAACATTTTTGTTTTTAAAAAATCACACTTAGAATCCTCCTCGTACAACATTTTAACATCTTCCCTGGCAAATGACATAGCTGAGCCTAATGAGAAAAGTTCGTAAAATAACAAGTGCATAAGTAAACAGACAATTTCTTGCATGAGCCTGATTGATTTCAACAGGAGCCTCATGCAGGCTTCATTGAAATCATGGGGCTTGCACAGCAACATCGCTTTGTAGGTAAAGCCTATTGGCATTTTCTGTACTCCCATTCATTATTCTTAAGAGGCAAAGATCAGAGTGAGGGATAATCATATGTATCCCTTTTTAAATTTTCCAAAACATTACCTGGTTCTTAAAAGTTCATAGGAAGACATCCTTCTTCAAAACATTACTTATGTTTTCAAGAGGTAATAGGAAGACATCCTTATTCAAGACAAAATACTGGGTAAAAATTCATTGAGGAATACCATCCATGTACAGATAGCTGAAATGATTAGAAGCTATGACTGAGTGCATCTGGGCAAGCTGTAATTCCACTCTTACCCATTTCTATGAGCTGATTTCAGGACAAATTTGTGGTTCATTGTGCCCATTGACTTTCTAAAGACAGCAAAGTACTAAAGCTATAATGTGACCATTATTAGAAATTAGCAGAGTAGGGAATCTATTTTAGGTACCTGCTCTGACTGCACATGCTGATTCATGAGGTTCAGGCTACCCGGACTAATATGGTGGTCTTTATGATCAGGATTTTAAATGTGTATATTCCCCAAATGTTCTTGGGTTTTAAAATAATTTTCGCTTTTGTCCTTACTGGCTGAAAATAAATTTTAGGGAGTCTTCAAGCTCAGTTGCCAGAAGAGAAGCATATTTTTATAACAAACATACTTTTTTTGTACATTGCGTTCATTCTTAAATAATGTAAATTCAGTGTTGTCTTGTAGACATTAAAAGGAGAGTATTGACTTTTGATTCAATAAACGTTTTATTTCATTTGCTGGTTTACCTATTTCTTTATTATAAGCACTTCCCACTTGCTTTGAAAAACCTACAAACAATGAATTAAGGAAATAGATGAATGAATATAAATATAAATCATGCATGACTTAACATCACATAAGACTCCAAATATTTCTCAAACATACACCTGTATTCAATACATGAAATACATGAACTGCAATAAATAGGCTGGAGATTTAAAACAATATCTAACACTTACTAGTGGGAACCATACTGGGGCAGCTTTATAGGTTCTTATTTCATATTAATGTTTAATTTGAGTGTAAGTTGACCTTTTACTTTGCTATGAAATATTCTGTCTCCACCACCCCATACAGGTTAGTGAAGGTTCATGGTTAAACAAGGTCTGTTGCACAGTGATACATCACATGCTTTAAATGCAAAAAGTCCAAGGTTCAATCCCTGGTATCTCCCATTAAAAAGTCCTGGGGAGTAGGTGTTGGATATTCCTGCTACTGCCCTGCTCCTGGTCAGGGTAGACAATTCTGAGCTAGACAGATTGAATTTCAAACATAACTTTCTCTTTACAGTTACCCTCCTTATCAAAATCAACAGTGATCCATGTCTAAAACAAGAGATGTACTGGAGCCCAAGTTTCCCTAATCGTAGAGGTGCAAAGGTAGCTGTGAACATCTAGGAGTAAAGAGAAATACAGTTTGCACATCATCTGAAGAAGTTATATACCCATTCTAATAATCCAAAAGAGCTTCAGTATAATTGAAAACTGGCTAATATAAGCTACTTATACTTCAAACACACACACACACACAATCCTTTCATTAGCCTTTGTCAGTTAGTGCACTGAAGGGTCCATCTTTGAATACAGTAACAATCATTCTTTGGGGATTATGGTACAAAGGGGAGGTTAGTATCTAACCCACTGTTTTCAAGGGTGGGAGTGCTCTTGCTTGCCTGCAAGTGTGGTTGTTGTTGTTTTTACATTTCCAGTTCAGATTATCAGTTTTTAAGCACATGGTGGCCTTCCGTAGACTTTTCTCTAAATTGTTTGTTTGTGTGTGTGTGTAAACTGCTGTCAATTCTAGGCTTCCCAAGTCCCGCCTGCGGCGGATCGGACCCCGGAGGGAACCCCACCCCCAAAGCACGCGATGTGCATGTCACCCGGAAGTGATGCGACCACACCGACATGCTGGGGGCGGGGCCACGGTCATCCGAGGGAAAACTATGGTTTTCCCTCAGATGGCCGTGGTCCCACCCCCAGCGTGCCCGGCATGGTCACATCACTTCCGGGTGACGTGGTTGCGGCGGGCGCTCGCACACACTCCTGAAACAGCGCTGGAGTCCCCTGCTCCAGCGCCGCTTCACACTTGGCAACCCTAGTCAATTCACAACCAATTTACGGCAACCCCATAGAGTTTTCAAGGCAAGAGACTAACAGAAGTGGTTTGCCATAGCCTGTCTCTGCATAGCATCCCTGGAATTCGTTGGTGATCTCCCATCCAAATGCTAACCAGGGCCAATCCTGTTTAGCTTCCATGGCTTGGAAACTATTTAAAACTACGATTCTAGAGCTTGGAAACTATGATTCTAGAAGCTCAAAAAAAAAATATTCCACAGGTTAGGAAAGGTACAAACAGGTATAGGAAAAAGCCTGCATGGTTAACAAACAAACTAATGGAAGCTGTAAAAGGTAAAAAGGATTCCTTTAAGCGGTGGAAAGCTAGTCACAGTGAGGCTGATAAAACAAAACACAGGCTATGGCAAATAAAATGCAAGTCTATAGTCAGGCAGGCAAAAAGGGAATACGAGGAGCATATAGCAAAAAACGTAAAAACCAACAATAGAACTTTCTTCAAATACATTAGGAACAGGAAACCAGCCAGGGAGGCAGTGGGGCCCTTGGATGACCAAG